AATTCCATCAAGAGTTTGTAAAATCAGATTGATTTAGTACATCAACAAAGACAGGTTAACAAGGGCTTATGGTATTTAATCAATGAACAAAAGTCTCGAAGACAAAAAAAAATCATGTTATATATATAAATAATATATCCTAAAATCATTCAAAATCTAAGTCCACTGACAAGTAAAGAAAAGGAAATAATGCAGCAAGAAAAAGAAAATAAAGAAGTACACTGCATTGCAACAATGGCATATGCACCAGCTAGGCTTAAATATAATGAAATTGACAGCAACATGAAAGATAAAAAGAGATCAAAAAGAAGAAAAAATACTGAAAAAATTAGCATGAAAATGAGTAAAGAGAGTATGAGATGTAAAGAATAAAAGCATAAGGCATACAGTTGTAGAGTATAAAGAGGCTGAGAGAAAGAGAGAAAGTGAGAGAAAGAGAGACAAGCAATAAAGATCCAGGCAGTGAACCCAGTGTTGGGATACAATGCTTTAGTAATACACTTAATGATAGAGGGAATAATAAAACATTAGTAGTTATCGTGAGAGGGATAAAAAAAAATATACATATGATGTCTTTTCAAAATGACTTACCTGTGATTGTATTTTCTAAGGGTTTTCAAGCCATATTTGCCTTCTTGCGAGCACTTGGACACTGGGAGACTTTCTAGGTTGGCCATCAGCAGGTTGATAGAGGTCTTGAGCTCTTCCAGGTACAAGGACTCCATCTCCTTCACAACAAACTTGGGCATCAACTTGCGATTCTGGTTTGGCCAAAAGACTAGGGTCAGGATTGTTTTCCTCTCTCAAATTATACATGTTATAATTCAGTGACTATGTAAGAATGAGCTATCCACATTTCACAGTCTTTTTTTTTTCTAGGTGAAAAATCTAGTAATAAATTTCTCTTACCAAGTGGTTGACTAATAACTTGTGTGCTAATACACTTTGTACAAAAGAGGAAATACAATTCAAAAAGTACATAAAAAATTATGCACATAGGATTGGGTAATGTCCCTTTTCTTTTCCTTCAGTTTCAACTTTACGCTATGTTGTACTCTGCAACTCCTGAATGCAGAAGCATTAAAAAATTAATGCAGATTAATGTTACAATGTATATACATGTATCATCTATTAGCAAGGATATGTAAGCAATACAAGGTTGGAAAAAATATAATTTAAAATCTAGTGGAAAAGGTTCAATAGAATGAGTTATTATTCACAGTAGTTTCAAACAGGAAATGCATAATAATACTTAAAAGTAAGTCCCAGGCTGTAAGTAGCATAACAGTTCCAGAAAATCATCTAGAGTTGCAAGTTTCAGATGCAAGAACTAAGAAATGCAAAAAAGAAGCAAATCAAGCACCTCAAGTTTGTGCCATGGAGCAAGACGGAGAATGATCACTTCTACGACACCATATTTTGCAGTGTTTACACAGCATGGGCATAGAATAGTCTATAAAACTTTGAAAACCACTGAAGATCAAAAGACAACAAACACAAGTTTATGATAAATTATAAAACCATAAATGCATGATTATAAGAATTTTATCATCCATCAAGACCAAGATTCAATAGTTATGGCCCTTACTAAGAGCAAACTACAAAAATCGGAGTAGATGTATGTTGTAATATTTTATTATCATTCACTTTCATTTTCAGTCAGTTATATAACTTAGGTTAAATATATAAATGCAAATTATTTTGCCCAGTGTTTTACTATTGGGGCAAGTAGCAAGATCTTTTTTTCTTGTGGTGCACAGAACCAATCCTTTTGCCTAAAAATATCATAATGGGGCATATATTACATATAATAAATATTGCTGAGAACTGTGCCACAGAGCAAAGCTACAAAAGATATTTCTAATTACAAGAGTGATCTCAGAATAGTATCTAAGAACATCAGAGAGTATGTTTTATATATATATATATATATACATACAGATAAATATATATGGAATACATGCCACTTATAAGAAAATAAATAATTAAATAAATAACACATATTATACAATGTATTAATCCGAATAATAAATATATCCATAATTTTACCCACAGCCTTCATCCAATCTCTATGTTCTAGATCTACTAAGAGAAATGCAAACCTATGGCTTACTGAGGCCTCTAGGATAATTTTCATAATCAAACTTACTTCTGGATCTCTCTTAAGACCCTCTAACTCCTTTTTCAAAGACGTGGAAATAAGAAAAAATAAGAAAGGATTTGGTGGTGCAACAAAAATTGTATATAGAGTGGCAAAGGGGGTGGTGATGACAGGGTATGTAATATTTGCCTTGAGGTAAACATTTTGAAAGAAATGTTACTCAGAACTGTGACTCTATATAAATATTAGTAAGACAGTGGCTAATATTTACTTTTCTTTTTTACTTTCTAGATTTTCTTTGCCTTGATATCAACTTCTACTTTCAATGTTTCACCAGTTACAGATTTAAATATTTCAATCTCTGTTTGAAGTATTCTGACTAGTGAAAACAAATAAACA